CAAGTTTGGAGACCTCTGGACTAAAGTTTACTTGATCAGTTTGTGGACTTCAATTCAGTTTGTGGACTTCAACTCCCAAAAGCTGGCTGGAGAATTCTAGGAGTTGAAGTCCAGAAGTCTTAAAGTGGTCAAGTTTGGGGACCCCTGTATTAAACCATTCCATATGAATATGGTACAGGGTTACAAGTAGGGACATTTGGTTGGAAGCACCTCTATTTTGGTTCTGCTTTATGAGAGATCATTTAATATCTCTATTAGATTTATATAGGAAATGTTATTGAAAAGGTTTAGGTGAAAATGGGTCAAACTTAACAGCAACATCTGAAGCTCAGTTGCCCACAATGAAGACACATTTTGCTGCTTGATGGAAAATTTGCGCAGGGATTTTAAAATGATGGAAAATATGCCCTAAAGTTTAATACATTTAAATAAGATTAAAACTTATTTTTTGAAGGAAAAAGAAATATGGTCCTATCAAAGGGACATTCCAGAGAACCAACCATTCCGAAGTCCTAGTCTCTGACAGCAAAATTAAAATACAGTTGGCAGGGAGGGAGCTGCAGTATTCTGGCTGCTTTTTACATCATTTATGATATCTGGATGTAACAGGAATGGAGAGCTTTACATGTCTATTCATTATTTGATTTAGATCCTGCCTTTTATTAAGAATCTCAAGGAAGCATGTGGAGCTTTCTTCCTCTCATTTTCCTCCACTATCTTGTGTGGTAAAGTGAACTGAGGCAAGATGACTGGCTTTCTATTGTTACTTCATGCATTTGAGGTCAATATTTTTATTCCTACTGTAAAGTCTGGCTATAACTTAAGACCATGATGTGCCAAAAATGAACTTAAGCAGAGGCTTTGAAGAACAAAATCAAACTTTAATTGATCAATAAGGTTAGGGTAAGACCTATCCTCACATACACAGAAGATAGACATGTGAGGAAGGCTACCAAGCATGTAGAGAAAGTAGAGTTCTTATACCTTTAAGATCCTTAAAAGTAGAGTAACTGCATTGTAAAACTCTCTAACTTAGATTTACATTTTTCCTGCAAAAGACAAAAGTCCTTCTGGTACTGTTTACCTTTCATTATCCCTTCTCCTATTGTCCTGCTAATTGATCTCAATTGACTACTTAAGGAGGCTATTAACAGCATACTTCAAAGGTGTGGATTCTTCCGGATGGAGGTAACTGTATTCCCAGAGAGGTAGTTTCATTCTCAGGGGATAATGCTGGGGTAAAATGTATTAATCCAGGAAAACAGATGGATTCAAATTGATTTAGATGGGACAATCATAGGAGAGGGATGTAACTGATTGCAGGCACGTGTTATAATTGTTTTACAACAAGTGAAAGGTTAAGAAAACCTTTTCTACAACAGCAAGATAAGAAATGCCTATAGAGTGATAAATGCTTAACATAAATACTTCTACATATACAAGAAAACAAATGCCTAACAGCAAGATAAGAGTAACTCTCTACTTAATGCTATAATATATCTTATTACATTTCTTTCTTTATTACCCTTCACTACTTCAGGAATATGTTTTAGTGGGCATGATCTGCTGCTGCCTTCTCAACCTAGCTAGTTCTGGACACAGAAGCCTGGGGTGGGGTTTGGAACAAAAATTGTACACAATGCATGTTTGAAAAAAAATGTGGAACTTCAATTGCACAGTCATAACCCCCACCTTGTCACGCCCCTAATAGTACTGGTACATCCTCAACCAATATGGTTATTTAAACTGTCTGAAGATTATTAGATTTAAAACCCAATGCATCTTGAGAGCACCAGGAACAGGAGTCTGATCTGGGGCAATTTCTCTGCTGATGATGTTATTTCTAATAACTTGGAATGCTATTCCTCTTTTTCCAACCGGGAAAATAATAAATATGTATTTGTCAGGTTGAGACTGACATTTATTTTCTTAATCAGCTTGTCCCCTCCTCATAAATAGCTCAGTGAGAGCCAAGGTAGCCCTGTAGTTAAGGTTTCAGATTAATACCAGAGAGGTCAAAATTCAAGTCATCTCCCACCATAGAAGCTCATGGGGAGACCTTTCCCAACAGTAAATCTCAGAGAAGAACTTCTTGATCTCCTGAAGGAAAGGTGGGATATCCATGCCACAAATAATAAACTAGTTAAGGAATGAGAGGGACAAAGTCAATTTTTTGGGGGCAACCATCTGGACATTGTTTACTATTTGCTTCCTTCTTGAATTTTCTGCTTAGTCTCCAGTCTAGCTGTCAGCCATGATGGCTTCTCAACCCAAAATCCAAACGCCCTGTTTAGTTTTTTGAGACAGCCAAACTTGGTTAGGCAGTGTCAGGTCTGGAGGTGCTCTTTTTCTTCAAGCCCTTTAAGGAGATCTTACATTACCTTTCCTAACACTGGATTGTATGGCAGACTGGATCATGCCACACATGTGGAGAGAGAGAGAGAGAGAAAGAGAGAGAGAGACAGAGAGAATTAAATGGAAAACTGCAACAGTGCATTTTATCGGGACATAGTACAGTATATAGTTCTCTCTCCCTACCACAGACACAATTCATTATCAAACTATTAAGTGAGTTAGAATTAATCGAGAAATCACTCCAAAATGGATGCCTTCCCCTCCTGCCTCAACCCCAATTGACAAAGCAATTACATTTTTGCCACAGATGACTTACAGTGTGGTTTTATAAATGAAGTGAATACAATTTATACTGAACTCAAGGTTAATTCAGCTTGATTTCATGTTGGTTTGGTAGAAACAAATAAAACACAAGCCAGAAAAAACAAACAAATAATGGCATCTGCCTGAACTAAAAATTGGCAGGACAGAAGGAAGAGCTAAGAGAGATTTTGAAACAAGGAAACTGTGTGCTAAAAAAGCCAATGATGCTTTTAGGAACGAGGGCAAATTCCTTTAGAATTTGAACATGTTTGTTTCTGAAATCTCCCAATGACAGTCTAGCATTTGGTGATTCTCAGATTAAGAAATTTAATACAGATAGTCCTCAACTTATGACTGTAGTGGAGCCTGCTCATCATGGTTTAAAGTCATGACAGTCATTAAATAGGTCACCCATGTGACTGACCCATTTTTAGATCTTCTTTTGTGGCAGTTGTCAAATGAACACTGCAGGCTTTAACTGAACCAATGATTTGCTACGGGCCAATTTTGCTGAAAACTAGCAGTCAATGCTGATTTTCGGCAAAACTGTTGTAAAAGGTGATCATGTGAGACTGCAGAGGGTCTTAACTTTAGAACCAGGTCATAAACACCTCAGGGAGGATAGTCATAACTTCAAATGGTAACTAAGCGACTGCACCTGACACTTGTAGCATGTTGGCAGGGGAATTCTGGGAGTTGAAGTCCACAGTCTTAATAATGCTGAGGTTGAGAAACATGCTAGACTTTAAGGCCTGTACTGGAAAAAACATAGCTTTCTTACCATCCTTTGTAATTTCCCCAGATCCTTGGTGATGGGAACAGCCAGGAAAAGACAATAGTGTTGCCATGCACAATATGGCTGTTTTAATCTCAAATTCATTTATTTTAATTCTCAGAGACAAGGAACTGGAAGCCTTGGTACCTAATATTTGGGGAGTGGGAACATCAATGCTTATATTACCCTGACTTTTTCCCCCACAGCTTTTTCCTCAAGTAGTTATGGTTTCAGCAGCAGATGTTCCAGATGGGTTGCACAGGCTCACACCTGAGCCTGCACTCTGAACAATGCCTGCCTTTTCTTTCTTTCTTTTTTGCCAGGAACCATGTGAAAGTAAAGGCATGTAATACCTTGGCTTTGGAAAGAGAAGATTTATGAAGTGGTCCACTCCAGGAGATGTTGCCAAAGGTTAATTGCTTCGGTTCCAGGACTGCAAAAGAAGAAGGAGGAGCATTCCACACTTCCTTTCTGGAAAAAAAAAACACCTTTTGAGGCTCATCTCCTGTAAGGGAAGTATCACTTTATAACATTACAGTATTTGGGGCCATTTTCCCTTGTTACTGTTTATGCCTGCCTGAAAGCAGATATAATTGTCAAACTTAGTTGGGATGGCTAAGGAAAAAAATACAATAGCCTAACTTTGTGCCAGGGTGGCATTCCATTAAAGCCTTAATCTTTAACTTCAAGCACTTGGTACATTTATAATTAAAAAAACTGATCATCATTAACTTAAAAATATAATGGAATATGTTATTTTTTTTCAGGCATTTTTAGATAGGGAAAGAAACAATATTTTAATTTTAATGATCTGGGTTTATCATTTTTGCTTTGGCTTTTTTAATGCCTTTGAGACAGTGTTGACTCTTGGTGACAACTGGACAAGTCAACAGTCCATGGAAGTTATCATTGTTCAGAATGCCTGCCATTATAGTAGAAAATCAAACATCCTTTAAAAAGGAGATTTTTGATGGAAAACAGGGCCAGGACATCTTTTATATAAGCATCATGTGATAGAATAAAGTATGCCTAGAATTTTTAGTGTTGATTCAAAAAGGATATAAAATAAGGCTGCTAATTTATAAGACAAACATCCTATTGGCTTTTTGATGTGTCTATAATAGCAAATAGGCCTGCAAAAAAATTAAGGAGTGAGTTTTCTATGTCCTAACATAAAGTAGTGATGGCACAAGAAATTGTTATTAACAGCACAGCATTAACAGTTGAAAAGTTGAAAGTCACTGGGGAAAACGTGCTTGGCATGTTCAAGGTATTGGATTTACCAGAAAATATGAGGTGTTCCTTCCAAATAATTGGGGAGTGTATGGAGGCAGTGTCAGACATTTGCTGATAGGAAGAGAAGCAGCTACTGGAAACAAAGAAACGAGTAAAGTGTGCAAATAGCTATAGACTTCTTTGGGGAGGATTACCTTGACATTTAGTATTTTTCTGGAGTTTTGTTTGCATACTGAAGTTACTAATTATGCTTATGAGGCATAATCACATAGGAAAGATGGTGTACATACAGTAGAACTTCTGATCACGAATGATTCTGACCACAACCAAATTGTGTTCCAAACAAAAAAATTCACAAAATTTTTGAGTCTGGTCACAAACAAGGTGGAGATCAAAATCGGCTGTGGTCGATTTCCCCTTCTGCGCCAATTTTTTTTTGGTAAGCACATGCTCAGTCAGTCTCGCTTCCAGTCATGACCAAATCGGTTTGCGACCGAAGTTATGGAGTAAATTGCAGTTGTGATCAGAGGTTCTACTGTACTTGTTTGAATGAATTTGTGCTGAATATTGGCATTCTCCTAGTTCTGTTGTTGTTCAGTCAGTAAGTGGTGTCCGACTCTTCATGGTTCTTCATGTTCATTGTATCAATGACATTATCTAACTATCTGATCCTCTGTTGTCTATTTCTCCTTTTGCCTTCAATCATTCCCAACATCAGGGTCTTGTCCAGTAAGTCCTCTCTTCTCATTAAAAGGCCAAAGATTCTGTATATGTTCCATAAATGACATGAATAAACCTTAAGGCAAAAAGAAGAGACAACTTTTTATCTCTTGGAGACAGGTGGGAAGCATTTTATTCCTTCTACAAAATGAATTAGGAAAAAGAAAAGACAGAACTAACTTCTTATATTGAAGGTGAATATACAATTTCACACATGTAACATAACTTCAAGCTTAGCCTGGTCCTAATTGCCAATATATCAGGTGGCCAAATTCATACATGTCAAACACAGAGATGGTGGTAGATGTTACGTTGGATTTTTTTTTTTTAAATCAGAGATGCCTGAAAAGATTCAGTTGAATCTCCAAACCGATTTTAAGTTGCTGAATAGAACTTGAAAGTCAGATGGAATGTTTCAGTCAAATCAGTTGTCTTTGAATGGATTCAATCATTTTCGGTTTTCTGAATATGCCCATAGTCACTTCAATTTTGGCAGCTAAGATGTGTACAGGACTATCTGTAGTATGTATCATCCTGTAATATTGCTTGCCTTTTTCATATGTTGCTTTAAAACCATTCATAAAGGTTTGCAGTTTTAATGCACATGCCAGTGTCTTGGGGTGAATGATAAAGCAACTATGGAATTGATGTACTGTATATCAATTATACACTGCTCAAAAAAATAAAGGGAACACTTAAACAACACAATGTAACTCCAAGTCAATCACACTTCTGTGAAATCAAACTGTCCACTTAGGTAGCAACACTGATTGACAATCAATTTCACATGCTGTTGTGCAAATGGAATAGACAACAGGTGGAAAGCATAGGCAGTTAGCAAGACATCCCTAATAAAGGAGTGGTTCTGCAGGTGGTGACCACAGACCACTTCTCAGTTCCTATGCTTTCTGGCTAATGGTTTGGTCACTTTTGAATGCTGGCGGTGCTTTCACTCTAGTGGTAGCATGAGACGGAGTCTACAACCCACACAAGTGGCTCAGGTAGTGCAGCTCATCCAGGATGGCACATCAATGTGAGCTGTGGCAAGAAGGTTTGCTGTGTCTGTCAGCGTAGAGCCCAGAGCATGGAGGCGCTACCAGGAGACAGGCCAGTACATCAGGAGACGTGGACGAGGCCGTAGGAGGGCAACAACCCAGCATCAGGACCGCTACCTCCGCCTTTGTGCAAGGAGGGACAGGAGGAGCACTGCCAGAGCCCTGCAAAATGACCTCCAGTGGGCCACAAATGTGCATGTGGCTGCTCAAATGCAGAAACAGATTCCATGAAGGTGGTATGAGGGCCTGATGTCCACAGGTGGGGGTTGTGCTTACAGCCCAACACCATGCAGGACATTTGACATTTGCCAAAGAACACCAAGATTGGCAAATTCGCCACTGGTGCTCTGTGCTCTTCACAGATGAAAGCAGGTTCACACTGAGCACATGTGACAGACGTGACAGGGTCTGGAGATGCCATGGAGAATGTTCTGCTGCCTGCAACATCCTCCAGCATGACCGGTTTGGCAGTGGGTCAGTAATGGTGTGGGGTGGCATTTCTTTAGGGGGCCGCACAGCCCTCCATGTGCTTGCCAGAGGTAGCCTGACTGCCATTAGGTACCGAGATGAGATCCTCAGACCCCTTGTGAGACCATATGCTGGTGCGTTTGGCCCTGGGTTTCTCCTAATGCAAGACAATGCTAGACCTCATGTAGCTGGAGTGTGTCAGCAGTTCCTGCAAGACGAAGGCATTGATGCTATAGATTGGCCCACCCGCTCCCCAGATCTGAATCCAATTGAGCACATCTGGCACATCATGTCTTGCTCCATTCACCAATGCCACATTGCACCACAGACTGTCCAGGGGTTGGGGGATGTTTTAGTCCAGGTGTGGGAGGAGATCCCTCAGGAGATCATCCGCCACCACACCAGGAGCATGCCCAGGCATTGTTGGGAGGTCATACAGGCACATGGAGGCCATACACACTACTGAGTCTCATTTTGACTTGTTTTAAGGACATTACATCAAAGTTGGATCAGCCTGTAGTGTTTTTTTCCACTTTAATTTTGAGTGTAACTCCAAATCCAGACTTCCATGGGTTGCTAAATTTGATTTCCATTGATATTTTTGTGTGATTTTGTTGTCAGCACATTCAACTATGTAATGAACAAAGTATTTAATAAGAATATTTCATTCATTCAGATCTAGGATGTCTTATTTTTGTGTTCCCTTTATTTTTTTGAGCAGTGTATATTCAGCACAGGTGCATGCATATAGCAGACTCTGGGAGCACCTCTTCCCTAGCCATTTTATCTTGTCTTTGAACTATGAATACAGGCACCATGTTGATCTAGAGCGTTCAACTCCAGTTCTTCAACATTGTGTTAGGTTGATTCTTCTCTAAGTGATATCCGATTATGTACTTGCGGTGGAATTCCTATCAGTTCTTTTGGCTTTCCTGCCCACAGATGCTGTCCGAAGCCATGTGAGTTATTTTATTCCTGCGGATCTAAGTCTGAAACTTTTGTTATAGCCTGTTTGTATTTCAGGGAGCTGGCTTTATGTTTCTCTGATCAATTCTTGTCTTGTCTTCCAAAGCAGAGAGAACATTCTTGGTCATTGTCATCCAGCCAACTTTGCACCTGTTTTTCTCCAGGGGCACCATGGGAGTTTAAGGCATAATAAAGGGATATAAATAATACACTGACATTGCTTACACAATCCATGATGGGTGTGTGTGCGGTCTGTAACGAGATCCATCAGCTGTCTCCAGACAAACGACTCATCGCATAGTCACCTAGGCCTTTCAGAACAGCCAACCCGCCAGATTTTAGTTTTTATTGATGAGACATTAGATCACAGATGCTTGCCATAGTTCCTTTGTTCATCCATACTTCTCATTCAGTTTAAAGCAAGCAGAATTATGCAGCATCAGAGCTGAAAGAGAGTGTGCAATTAAATGTGGGGAAGGAGAAAACCTTTGGAGTGGGTGTGCAAGGCTATGAAGTGGTTGGGTTTAACCCACTTGTGTACTAGAACATTGAGTGTAAACATGTTTTATGCAATTTTAACTGCAGTGGCTCCTATTCCAGAAGGGTAGCATAACATATGGGGAACGGGTATAATTCTTCCTTCCCATTACATAGTTTACTAAAATAATGTTTAGAATTTGTTTAGAAAGCACTCTGCCATGGGGCATAAATGTGAGCTTCCTTTGATAGGCAAATTTTAGCCATGGAGTGTGAATTTACATTGGAATTTACATTGGAACCCCAGCAAAAAAGGGAAAGACTAAAATCCTCCTATATCCATATCATTAATCATGGTTCCAATCTGCATCACACAATTTCACACTCTTTCCTTCAACTTTCCCTTGCTTTACAGACCTGGGAAGATTATAAATGGAGGATTGGTTGCAAAATTACTTGCAACAGTCATTAAATGAAGCAATCACCAATCACCTATAATAGCAGTTCCAACATCATTTGAAACAGTGTGCACAATGAATACACTTTTACTGAACTTATGTCATGTCAGATAGTATAATTTCTGCTCCATAACCTCTCAAAATACATTAAATCTGGCCATACAATTTTCTTTTTTTCTTGCAGTCTTTGGAATGTCAGAAGAATTTTTTTTAAAATCATGTAGATCAGTCAATGCTCGTTCCAGCTGACCAGTAAAAGAAAGCACTGTTCTTCATTATTTAATGATTTTCCAATTTACAGGCAACCTGACTCCAAAAATGAGTCTGGAAGGCTTCGTAAACTTGAAACAAGAAAAACAACATGATATTAAAAAGTGCAGTTGCCACAAGGGAACAATAATTTTAAAAACCTCATCATCCCCTAAGAGATACTCTAACCTGGAGTCTGAGGGAAAAGCCATGTTTTTAGGGCTCCCAAGAAAGCCAGCTTAAGTGGGGACGGAAAGAATATCCAGAGGAAATGCTGTCCTAGATGGCAGGTGCTGCCACAGGGAAGGCCCACTTCCGGGGTTCCATTAGATGACATTGTCTACTCTGTTTCATTGCACATTTTTATAGAGACAGATGGTCCCTGAAGCCTGATCCCAGGTAGGGCTTCATAGGCAATAACCACCACCTTGAATTATACCCAGGTGGTTACAATAAGCAATAAAGCTCAGAAATCAGAGATGTTATACAGACATAATTAGACCTGCCTATCACCATTCATGCAGCTGGCCCAGCTATGATTTCCCAGTGGTCTTCAAGGTCAGCCTTATCCAGGGCTGGGCTTCAAAAATTTTAGCAAAGGGTTCTCTGCCCAGTTGATGGGTGGGCATGGCCATGGTGGT